AAAGATACTGATGGAGTTATTCAGGATTACAAAAAAAATAGGATTCAACCCTGCCCACATGTTTTTTTTTTAATAGACCCATTTGGATATATGATTATTAAGATATTGTAGACATTAATATGTTACACTGAACAGAGATACATTAAATGTATATCTATGTATGTATATGTATGAACACAGATACATTAAATGTATGTGGTATGCACCTGAAGAATTAAACATGATTTTGTGCTCTCAGTGATCATAGATTATTTTTTAAAGGGCTCTATAGATATATTTATGCAGCTAAGTAAGGGTTTATGAACTCTTGGTTATATAAAAAACAGCCTGCCAGAAGAGAGAACTTTCACTTTTGAAAAATGTTAATAAATAGTTACTAAATGAAATAATTAAAAAGGAAGGTAATCAGGGGTGGTAAGAACTTTAAGAATGGAAAAGCACATGCTGGTTGAGTCTGTGTGGATATTGTACACAGGGCTGGAATATTCACACATTTGTACACCACAGAAAGTGAACTGAACATCAATATTTTCAAGTCCATGTTCTGCCTAAATGTGGCAAAATTAGTTCATTCCTGTTTCATCTAATAAGAAACTGGCATGGTGGAGAAAAATGAAAATGTCTAAAGAACAAATATCTGAAACTGGCAGTCAGAGAAGCAAGAAGAAAAATCTTCTGGAACACTTGGAGCAGTTTTTAAAGTTCCTTTTTCTTTCAGAGAGAGTACCAGATGAACAAAATGTTTCACATGAAATGTTTGGGTCTTGAAAAAACCAGAACAATAAAATTCCTTTAAGGGTAACTATATTGTAACACAGCATGTAGCATAAAACAATTGGGTTTATTAGTCCCCATTTTGGGAGTGCAACTTTGTCATCCATAAAAACAGCCCCACAGTTTTGGAGTGCATCCTCCTTTCCTTCTTTGGCAAAGGTTCCTGTCTGAATCACCTTCTTATTTTTGCCACATTATTGTTCTGTCCAAAGAGCCTGGATGGATACTCCTGCCAACTGTGCTTTTGAGGACTGCACTCCATCACTTCTGGTGTGACCACCACATCTCCACCAGCTCTCACCACAAGTTATATATATCTGCTCAGTTTTACTTTTAAAGGGTACAATCCCCTCTATGATTTTCAGCAGTAGCCCTTGGACATGTCCTTTGTTCTGCCTACAACTGCCAGTTCTGTCTGTGGCGTTTTATCCCAGCTGCCAAGTCACGTTTCTGTGGGATGGATAAAAACACCCGTGTGTGCAAACACAGGTCTGTTCGTGTGCCCCTGCTCCTGGGCAGGGAAAGGTTTCCACCACGGGCACGGGCTCAGACCTGCTGGTGGAACACAGAGATCTGAGTTCAAACCAGCTGATGAACATAAAG